TGCACCCTGAATCAATCCCAGTGTCACACATTCTAGGCCTAATCACCTCTGAAAAGGCCCTACCTATGATCACATGAGGCTTTAGAAGGGGAACATCTAGACCCAAACCATAACACCCGCCAGTGCCTTTACCAGAGATTTCCTGCAATGTTGGCAAATGTCTTCAAATCCTTCCCAGAAGAACAAAAGCAGAAAATTATTTTTAAAAATCAGCAGTTTTTGTTGTAATGGGGGTACAGTTGTTCACTTCCCTCATATGAACTAAGCAGTCCATTTCTATACCCCATTTACAAGAGTTCACATACTCGATACACAGCATGGAATGAAACACCTAATCCTCCAGGAATCATTACATTTTAAATTACATCCAATTATGAGATAAGACAAAATTTCATAGCTCAGTTTATAGTCCTCTACTGTACTGTGTTATTCTCTATTTCACACTCTCTCCCGCTCTCTTTTCCTGCCACTTGTAAAAATTCCCTATCAGAATTGAAAGAATATTCTTGGAAGTAAGCAGCTCTTACCCGGCTGTTCTCATGAGTCTTCCTGCTGACTGTGATTTCAGAATGTTCTTTTTCACCCCTTCTCCTTTTCAGCCAGAAAAGGCCCAGATGCACTCACTGTACAGGGTGCAGCCCTTCTCTCTGAGGCTGAAGGAGTTCTGGACATGTGACTGGGGAAATGTATGTAAAAGAAAGGAAGGAAGAAAAAGATGGTGAGGGGAGGGAGGGAGGAGGAATAAGGAAGTAAAAAGGAAGAAAAGAAGAAATAAAAAAGGAAAGACTCTCAGTAAAACTTGGAAATAAATAATATAGGGAAAAAATAAATTTCAGTTGATGTTTTTAACTGGAGATTGAACTCAGGGCCTTTGCACTGAGCTGCATCCACAATATAATTTTTTATTTATATTTAGTTTTAGATTTAAACCTGTACATATTTTATATATCATTATTATCACAAGAAAATACTTTCTGCCTCATGACTATTTATTACAGAACCTTAAAGATTCAGCTTGTTTCTAGCTTGCAGAGTTCATGATGACAAATCTGTTATCCCCTTATCTTAGTTTTTTATTTGAAGACAGGTTCTCACTAAGTCACTAAGTGGCTCAGGCTGGGCTTGAACTTTCAGTCCTCTTGCCTTAGACTTCTTCCAGTACTTAACAACTTCTACTATCCCAGTGATCCTAGAATGTCTTCAGAATGGATTTTCCTTGAAATCACAGAACTATCCCTGTCTCATGGATAAAACATCAGAAAATTTCATACATTTTACTAAGGAAAGTAGTAGGTTTTCAGACAAATCAACTAAAGTTAAAATCTCCTACAGGCCCCACACACTTGCCATACAAAGCAGAAATACCAGCACTGCACACCCACCTTGGCAGGCCAGTACACGGTGCATAATGGATTCTCAGCGTCTCGGAATGAGAGAGCTGATTCTACTTTACTACTATGCCTTCCATTGTACCCTCTTGATGTTCAGAGACATCTCCTAAAGGGTTGCAGCTCTTGTACATGCCTTATTTCAATGCAGCATTTTAGAGTTCTAGCTGGATTCCTCCATGTAATTTGCAATTTTGCAATTTCTTGAGCTTTTGGTTTTACTTTAGTGAACACTTCTTGTGCCTTGATATGAAGTCCTGTGACAACGTCTTTCTGTCCTGGCCAAGACTCAATGACCTATTCTTCTGTGACTTCGGTTTTGAGAGGATAGAAACTATCCAAATAATTTTGCCAATCCCACATCCCATCCCAAATCTTGAAATAAATATTTTCATGGTGAGCTAAGCAGCCTATGATCTAACTTGTCACTCCATATACCCCCTCCAATCTCTGGTTTTTATTCAAAACTAGATAAATATTGAGTACATTGTTCAGGACAAAAATGCTTTGAGAGAACATCACTTTCCGTCTATATCAGTGTCCATATTAGGAAAACCAACAGCAGTTTCTGGCATTATACATGCTTTGGACTGGCACAGATGGTGATAAAAGTAGGATTCAGTGAAAATCATTCTGAACTTGCTGCTATTAAATAGAGAGGAGCTATTGTTTTCTACACAAACTCCAGTGTGAACTCCCTACACTGTTTCAAGCCATCAGTCCTTGGGGAAGCTGTGGCACTCTCCGTGTGATGTTTGGCACTCTTTCTAGGGACAAAATATCTGAGTGCTGCTCCATGCTCTGCACATTGGCTCGGGTGCAGCCCTTGTGTCCTTGTCTCTTGTCTCTTCATGTTCAACCTTGCCGTGTTAGTAAACTGGGGTGAGGCAAAGGGATCTTGGTGTTTTCAGCTTGACTGGGAGAGATCCTCCATCTTCTGGGACTTTAAAGGATGGAGGAGATAGCCCACCACCTCTCAAGGGAACGACAATTTAGCCTCTCATCAGGTTCTAGCTCTTTAATTTGGAAGTGGAAGAAGTGAGAAATGACAGCTGTCTGCCCCTCTGTTATAGTTTGATATAAAATGTCCTTCAAAAGTCTCGTGTGTGTGGAGGTGAGACTTTTGGAAGGTAAATGGATCATGAGAGCTCTAGCTTCACCACTGTGTCAATCCATTTATAAGACACAGTTTGATGGCATTATTGAGAGGTTATAGAAACTTAGGAGTTGGGAATTGAGGAGGTAGGGCCTAGTGGAAGAGAGTAGATCATGGGGGCTTGATCTACTTGGGGACTATATCCCGTCTCTGGCTCTTTTCTTTCTGGCTTTTCCCCTCTCTCTGTTTTATGTCACCATGAGGTGAGCAGCTTCATTCTACTATACTCTTTTGCCATGATATTTCTGCCTCACCCCAGGCCTAAAGCAATGGAGACTATTGACCATAGATCAAAACCTCTCAAATCTTGAGCCAAAATCTTTGCTCCTTAGAGTTGACTTGCATCATGTTTTTTGTCACAGTGATGGGAAGCTAACAGGAAAGTTTCATGCCAGAGAGACTCCATAATCCTTGATGGAGCTCAGAGGACATGAGCCAGCCTTCCCAAAGAGCCTCTACCCGATTGAGCTGAGGAGAAGACTATGGGAAGGGAAGGGGTAAGTCATGGCTTCAACATCACGGAGTTGTGCTGCTCTCATCAAGTTTTAGTAGGAATTTTTGAATAATGTTTCATTTGCAGATGCTGCTAGAAAAACTTTCAGAGACTCTCAATAGTTGCTTGTGTGTTTTTTATGTTTTTTCACTGGCACTGCTTGTTTCACTGGGAATTTGCCCAAGAAGCTGATCACATTCCATCTACCAGGAGTCTGTTGACAGAAAAGTAGGTGAGCTCTCTGTTGGTGGCTTTCCATAACAAACACGCTCCTTGTAGCAGTCAGCTCTCGTCTCCTGGGACCTCATGCTGAAGTGGGTGGCGGGGGTGCCCACAGCAAGAGGTGACACCTTGAGCCAGGAAAAAGAGGCAGGATGAGAAGAGTGAGGTCTGCTCCTTCTACAATAAGCAACCTCCTCCCCTCTCATAGCAGGTTGCTGAGAACCACCTCCCTAGAGCACATCCTAAGGACCTTCCTCTAGGCCCTGCCTCTTAGAGGTTCTGTCACCTCACTGCCACCACATGGGGACCAAGTCTTTGACATAGGGACTTCTGGGGGAGCCAGTGAAACCTTATCCAAACTACATAGCACGCCTCATCAAGAAAAGTGAACGAACTCCTGATATAGTAATAGCGTGCCTCAGTTCATAAATGCTTCTGTTTGAGAACAATTCGGTTTGTGAACAGAAGTGTTCAGCAAAGTTTTGTTTCTGTTTGTGAAGTCTGTATCGGAAGATGAACACAACCATGGCCATCTTCCCTGCTCTGACACGTGGCCATATCTTCCTCTAGTCGAGGTCATGGTGGCAGACAGACTTTTGCACACTCACCGTGAAGTTTCTTTGTGTGCTTTCCAGCACATATTTTACTGTACAGTGTTACTCAATCCACCATAATGCCAAGGACAGAGCAGCAATGAAGGTAACCAGGAAGTGCAGAGAGTAATGAGGTGGGAAGAAAATACAGAGCAACGGTGGTAAGAAGAAGATTCTGAAGAAAATAAGCATTGAGTCGATGAAGGAAATTGTAGAAAAGCATGAGCGTGGTATTTGTGTGACTGATATGGCCTTGAGGTACAAGATGGCAAAGTCGACACTCTCAATTATTTTGAAGAATGAAGATACCATCAAGGGCGTTGATGTGGCAAAGGAGTAATGATATTGGGCAAGCAGAGGACACAAGTTCTGGAAGAGGTGGAAAAACTTTTGTTAGTGTGGTTGAATGAGAAATAGCTGGCAGGTGATAGCATTAGTGAAGCTATGATCTGTGAAAAAGCCAGGAAATTGCACATTAATTTCCTGCAAGAAAACCTCTCTCTACACGTGCAACATGTGCTGAGTTTAAAGGCAGTGGGGGGTGCTTTGATACATTTCACAAGAGAAGTTGCATCCACTTTGGATAAAATATGGTAAGTCTTCTGGTTTTGCAGAAGCTGGTAATGGTAAGCCTTCAGAAGCCTACAAGAAACAGTTTGCAGTATTTACAAAGGCAGAAGAATACATTGCTCAACTAGCGTTCAACTACAATGAATCAGAGCTCTTCAGGAAGAATATGCCAAATAGAACCTATATCACGCAGGAGCAAAAGGAGCTCAAGCCCATGGACAGGTTGACTCTTTTGCTATGTATGAACACAAGTGCTGATCTGAAGATTAAGCCACTACTGGTGCACCACTCCCAGCTCCTTCATGCATTCAAGGAACAGAATGTGAACAAGGCCAGACTGCCTGTCATGTGGAGCGCCAGTGAGAAAGCTTGGGCCACAAGGCAATGTCCATGGGATGTCTGCACAAGGTATTTGCACCCTCTGTTCAGAAATGTCTTTCTGACAAACAGTTTCCTGAAAGGTGCCTTCTGGTGGGTGATGCCCCGGCACACCTTCCAGCCTTGGTTGATTATGTGGACGCTGAGTATGACTTCATAAAGGCCAAGCCCCCTTGCCATATGATACCTCTTCTGCAGCCCATGGCCAGCAAGTGATCTGCAACTTCAAAAAGCTGCCCACAAAGTTGCTCTTCGCCAGGTGTTTTAATGTCACTGGAGAGACCTCTGTGACTCTGAAAGAGCTCTGAAAGAAACATTTCAGTGTAGAGTTCAATCACTGGTACCAAAAAAGAAAAAATAAAAAAACATTGCAGTGTCTTCCACTGCATCGACCTCACTGACAAAGCCTGGGAAGATCCCACACAGCGGACCTTCAACTCAGCCTGGAGGAAACTGCGACAGAGTGTGTCTGTGACTTTGAAGCATCTGAGACACAGGTATGGGGGACATTGTGCCCACAGGCAGGAGCGTGGGTGCAGACACAGAGGAGCTAGGGACTTGCTGAACTCCAGAGTGAAGCAGTAGAAGGTGCTTGTTGAGGACACTGCACTGAGGAGGAGGAAAACGGGGAAGAAGTTGTGATAAATATGTGGAAAAAATGGAATGAATGTCAGTATTTCTTTGAGAAGCACCGCACCAACTCTAACAACTGTAATGAACACAGGGTTGAATCTGATGAATGATAACATAGTCTCTCATTTCTGGAAGGTTATGCAACACAGGAAAAAACAAGTGACATTAGACGGTTTTTCATCAAAACTGGCCCTGCAGCTAAGAGACAAAGAAGAGGGCAGACCTGTGAAGCAGATCTCTCCAATGTCCTTATGGAAGGGGCTCTCCCTCCAAACAGCGACCTCTTCCCCACCCACCTTCCCGTCCTCTGTGTCAGAAGTAATCTCAAGCAAGGTTAGTGTTCTCTCCTTCTCCATGCTTACGGTAATGTACTTCGTTTTATAATTTTATAGTTTTAAAGAAATACATAGGGTTCAGAACAGATTAACCTGATTTGCATTGAACCTTACGGGAAAATTTATTTGGTTTGCAATCCATTCCGTTTTCCACCAGAATCATGAAACAAACCGAGTTCACGAAATGGGGAACCCCTGCACATGTCAAGTGCAGCGTGGATCAATCTCTAAGACACCTACCCAGCAGCACACATGTGCATGATTCCCTCCTACACGACATCTGCCACGTGAGAATGAGGGTGGTGATGAGATCAGATCAGTGGTTGCCTGGGAAGAGAACAGGACTGGTTAGAAGGGACACAGAACACTTCCTCACGGGGCGGCACAGTTTGAAGTACTGACAGGGTTGGGAGTTCCATGATGGGTCATTTTAAAACATTAACTATAGACCCAAGGTATGCATTTCATGCTTGTAAATGACATATCTATGAAAAAAGCACAGTATTAATAATGAAGTCAAGATTCACCGGCTGTCCAATGCTCTTCTGCTCTCGTGCACCACACTGGTTTGACTTTAATGCCACTACTACATAAGGTGTTTCTGAGACTACTTCCAAAGAAACACATGGCTGACCTACCCTCAGATCAAGTAAAACTTTCTTTTCTTTTCTGTTGTCCTTTAATCTGTTTATTCTTCTTCAAATGATGATAAAAAAGAAAGAAAAAGCCACTCTCCGTTGAGAACTAGAAGAGTGACCAAAAAAATAAAGTTAGCTCACAGAAGAATTCCTTTTCTGGGGTACAGTTCCGTTCAGGAACCTTGAAGTGTGAAGTGTCTGGGCCCAAGGGGGGACAGGTCACCCATCTGCAGACACCTCTGGCAAATCCTGCCTGGGCCTGAATGCTGGCTGCTAAATCACACAGACATTACTCAACAAAAGTCCAAAAGAGTTTGATGACTTTCCAAGGGTCCGCAGCTGTAGTCTCTGCCTTTTATGATACATGAGGGCATTATTTAATTATATGTTTTTTGGGGATTGCACTAAGGGAAAACCACTTTAGATTATTTTTGGCTTGTTTTATGGGAATGAGAATTAAGCTTCTTTTTGGCAAGTCTCCAAGTTACTACTTGAGCATCTAGAAGGATTTGGATATGGTTTCTTTTTTCTTGGCATAATAGAAACGGATAACAGCTAGAGGTCAGAAAACGAGGACCTTCTTCAATGAGTTGTAAGACACATTTCACTGCTAAAACTATAAGCCCATTTGTTCTGCTGTTAGTTGTCAGGACTCCCAGTCCTGAGAACTGCTGACAACGTTGCTGAGCTCCCTCTGGATGGCAAAGACCCTCAGCTGAGCCCTGCTATGTCATGACGTCAGTCCCTCAGAACTGGCAATCCGTCTACGAGCCATAGATACACAGCTTCCAGCAAATCAAACTTCATTAGAGACAGCCGAAATCTGATTTTCATTTCTCCACTTCCAAGACATCCTTTATCTCATGTATGATTTAATTTCAGCCTCTCTAGCTAAAGTGGTGAATCATACGTTAACCAGACGACTCTGGACTGTTTTGCAAGACGGTTCCAATTTACCTTCCATATGGGCACATTTTTATAAGCAACCACCATCCTTGCAAACAGTACCAGTGTTCAAGAGCTGGTGAACAGCACATTATTTACAGAGTATCTAATCAGGGAGCCTGCTTCAGCTCATTAACTGTGTGACAACCGCTCTTTACTAGAACAATTCGCTGGCTGTGGACTTTAATATGGGATCTGTCATCTACACTTCTCAATGATAAAACTTAATTGAATTTTCATTCCTGTACAAGAAGATGCCAGTTTAACAGATGGTTTGTAATTGTTATGTCCACATATTTTATGTTGGATGGTATGAGTAATTTCATGCAACTGCTATTCGTTTAAATGCTGGGTTAATTTAAGATATTTCTTTTATATTATTGTTCAATATGATTGTAAAATCTCATTAAAATTAATCAGTTAAAATTGAAAAAATGCTTGCAATGGTCCTACAGAAACGAAAAGAGTAATTAATGATTAAAATCTGCACTAGGTTGCTGAGGGAATATTTTGCACAGAGCTTTCCATATTGTTGAGGAAGAGGGAGGAGTTGATACATTCAAGGGATGGAACACAGCAGTGGCAACTGTGTGAACCAATGGTCCAACCAAACCAAAGCCCATAACCTCATCTGTAACAGAACTGGTTAACTTCTATTCATTCTCTACACCTCAGTCTTCTTTGGCCACTCTCAAATCCATTTCTGTTCTTCTCTAACCTTAATTTTCAGTTCACTGACTTGATACTCAGTACTGTGAACTCAGGGTCTCGAGAACAGTTCCCACCCTGAAGACTGGGAAGGAGTGAAGTTCGTAGGAAAGAAATATATCAGAGGCACAGAATAGGGAGAGACTCCACCCTGTTCCAGATAACCCAAGGGTCATTGTATCCCAAATATTATGTCAGTGGCATTTGAGTAATTAAATTTACCTGTCAATGTGATATTTCAGAGGGCATTTGAAAGGAGCATAGCAACCTAGTTTGACAGTATAGTAAAATTAGTTCAGCCGGAAGTACTGACTCATCCCTGCCCTGTTATGGTGGCATCCCTCACCCTCTTTGTGACAGCAGCATCTTCACTTCATGTCGGCCTCCTCCCCCAACAGCTTCAGTTATCTACCACTGGCAATTTTTCTTTCTCTCCCACTCAAAACTTGTTCTCAGAAAAAGCTCAAATAAACTCATTCAGTTCCATACAGAAACAACTTAGAAGACTCCAAACAAGTTCCCAGGAGTAATAGCATTTTAGCCAGAGTCCTCAGCTTTCTGAGACCAAGACCTAGGGGGAAAGGGGAGTCCTGCAGTTTCTGAAATTGTCCTATTTCCTTGTGACTCTCTCATTGAGGGAACAAACTCCTTAAAGAAGGAACCATACCCTCAGGCTTAAGGGGATGAGGGAGAACAAGACACATGGAAAAGACGGAGTGAGTGAAGAGACCACAGCAGGCATGAAAGGTCCACAGCAGTGACCAAAGGAGAAGCAGGACATGGAGAAATCATTCAAAAATGTTGTCAACCCCTGTAGGGACTATGCACCCCAGCAGATGTTCTAGTGATGTTGCTACAATGCATAGTGGATATCTATGAGTCCAGAATTTCCATGATGTTCTCAGGAGATTACTTTTTCACTGTTTTCTTGGTTTTGGGTTGCTGTTTGCGTCCTAGGAAGGAAGAGGCCATGCTTATCTTGGTTACCATTCTACTCCCAGTACTCAATGTATTCAATAAATACTTGTAAATCAATGAGTGAATCCTCCATTAGTTACCAAAGAATTATAATGCAATAAAGCTATTTTTGAAAAAAGTCTCCTCCCTTCATTAGTGAGTTTTAGTTTTGTTTTTTGTTTTTTGTTTTTATACTGCTGGGGATTGAACCCAGAGCCTTCACACTGAGCTACATTTCCAGACCTTTTCAAATTTTTTATTTTATTTTTTGAGACAGGGTCTTTTTTTGTTGTTGTTTTTTGAGACAACTATGTAGTTTCAAGCTGGCCTTGAACTCCCAGCGATCCCCCTGCCTCAGTCTTCTCAATGCTGAGATTATAGGCAGGTGCCACATGCCCAACTAAGCGACAGAGTTTCACAATACTAAATTTCCCAGGCTGGGCTTGAGCTTATGATCTTTCTGCCTCAGCTTCTCAGAATGCTGGAATTACAGGCCCATGCTGCCATACCTGGCTTCATTAGCACTTTTATATTTTAAAAATGTAATTCAGGCTGTTAGATGGGGTTTCTGCTCATCATTAGAATGACTATTATTGTAAATGAGATTTGGGGAATTGAGCTCAATCAATACCAAGAGACCATTTAGTACAGACTTACTACTAGGGCTGAGTTCCTGGATCCAGAAATGGTACCAGAGCCTGAACCTGAAGGAATAAGGGCATAAGCAAGATTTTAAGGAGACTTTGGCTTGCACTAGAAGGGAGCCACCAGTCTGACCAAGAGTAAGTCAGGCAGGTGGCTCCTCCCCAGAAAGGAAGGGTTTAGTTAAAGGAGAAAGAGTTCCCACCAAAAGTTCCCGTCCAGGTCCCCCGTGTAGTAAGGGATTCAAGTTTGCAGAGAGTGCGGGGTGCTGGCTGCCCTGTCAGTGCTGGGCTCTGAGCTCACTGGTGGGCTCTGCTGGGGTGAGGCTGGCTTTTGGGAGGCCGGTCCTTTCCTGAGTCCTGTCAGGAGGATGTGTTCGCAGCTGCTGTGTTTTTAACTCCCCGTCTGTGTGGCCCTGGGTCCCCATACCATCTATGTCTTTGTTTGGTTCTGCTGTGAAAGCACCAACCATGCAGGACCCCTTCTCTGCATTTGATGTTTCTATCTCCTTTCAGGAGGACTATCTCAGACTGGCTATCTCAGACTGACAATCAACAAGTTTTTAGAAAGCTGAATTTTCAGGTTACAGAGGCTGTAAAACTTCCACCTATAAACTGACAGTTTACTTGGGATCTCTAACGTGTCAGAGACATGGAATCTGGCCCCGGGCACAACCCACTCTTGGCTCCAGGAATCCTCGCTCTTCCACGGGATTTACAAGTTCAGCGCAGGTGGTGAGTGGGGATCAGGCACTACGCAAAGAATGAGTTTGCATTTTCCCTACACTTCGTGTGCCAAACTCAGTACTGAGCTCCACGGCAGACAGTGAGTGAGAAAAAGTATCTACTGTTAAGGATCTCAAAGTGGAGAACATTGTGCAGCCTCCTAAATTCAAAAGAAAGCAACTGTATCTTCTGGGGTTCTTAGTTGTGTACGTATAAAATTAGGTCTAGGAGTAACTATGACACATGAAGCTAAATCTTTGGGAGGGATGTAAATGTGAACATCTGAAAATCTGTTCAAAGCAATGATCATGGCGGGGGGAAAATGACAAAAAAAATTTTCAGATGCTGGAAATTACTCAAAAGCTTACAAAAAATCTAAGGAATATTTGTTCAAGAATAATGGCTGAGTCTATGAAGGGATGAGCTTTGTGGGGGTGTAACCTGGGCTTTGCTCAGAATCTCCCCCTAGCTCTAAGCACCCTTGAAAACTTAAAGATCTCCATCAAGATACCCAGGAATTGGGCATAAATTCTGCACTCTGGGAGGCTGAGGCAGGAGGATCAAAAGTTGAAGCCCAGCCTGAACAACTTAGTGTCTTAGCCAAAACCTTGTCTCAAAATTAAAAATAAAATAAGGGCTAGAGATGTAGTCCAGCGCAAAGGCCCTGTTTTTAATCCCCAGTAACAGAAAAGAAAAAACAAAAATGACAACAACAAAAAATCCCCAGCAAACTCATAGCCAGTGGAGGGGGAGCAATTGTTTGATCTAGATCTAGAACGAGATCAAACTGTAGTAATTTTTAATTATAAAAATTGAGTTATAAGCAAAAAATAGAATTCCAAAATAGAAGTACAGCGCTTAAAGAAAAAACAAAAATGACAACAACAAAAAATCCCCAGCAAACTCATAGCCAGTGGAGGGGGAGCAATTGTTTGATCTAGATCTAGAACGAGATCAAACTGTAGTAATTTTTAATTATAAAAATTGAGTTATAAGCAAAAAATAGAATTCCAAAATAGAAGCATCCAGCTCCAAGCTGCCTCATTGGTGCATTCTAACAAATGTTTAGGAAAGTAACACCAATCCGCCACAAATTCTTATAGAATTTACAAAATCAGGGAACATTTCTCAACTTGTTCTTCCAAACCAGGAGTATCCAAACAACAAAACAAACAAAGGTATCATGTGAAATCAACAAGCCAGTATCTTTTATACAGATGCAAAAGCTAGCTATGAGATACGAGCAAAACAAATCCGACAATATCAGTGACTGTGTAACCAGTTTTCTCTCTGGCCTCCTGTACTGAGTATGATGAACGATCAAGTCGATGGGCAGCAGTGGGAACCAGCTAACTATAGTTTACTGGAGCCCTCTCTCTTAAACAGAGGACTTTTGTCTTTTGTCTTTGCCTCAAATGAGATGAGTCCTCACCCTTGTCTACAGATAAGAACTTTTCTGTCCTTTTCCAGTGGCTCAGGCCTTTTGTTCCACAGGAGAGAGAAAACCAGGGTCTGGGGTCAGGGCCACTCCCTGCCTTCCCTACTGTTTCTCTCCCTGGTCTGCGCACCTGCAGGGAGAAGGGAGCCTTCTGTGAACTCCTGCTAGGCCTTGGGCCTTTCCTGTGAGCACAGGAGGTCTGTGACGATATGGGGTGGGGGGTCAGGCTCCTCGTGTCCGAGATTTCCTGAGCTCCAATACTCTTATGTTGCTTGACATGCAGCATTTACATTCAGAAATGTATTTAAAATGTAGGCCTGTTATCCCAGCTACTCCCAGTTTGAGGCAGAAAGATTCAAAGTTCAAGGCCAGCCTGGGCAATGTAGTGAGAAGTTATCTCAAAAAATAAAATGGGCTGGGAGTGTATCTCAGTGGTACACCAGTTGCCTAGCATATATGAGGCCTGCGATAAATTCCTAGCACAGGAATAAGGAGAAGGAGGAAGGGGGCCTGAAAAGGAGGAGGAAGAGAAGGAAAAGGGTAGAGATAGAGGTAGAAGAGCTGCCTCAAATCCTATGAAGGAAATAAAAATAATACTGTCAAACACAATAATATCAGTTGATTTAACATGTTCAGAAACAGAAAATAGAGGCCATGTTCTAAAAACATGTAGTAAGAAGCACAAATTATGGAAAAAAGAAAATAAAATTAAACTTTTTAAAAAGCTGAGGTGAATTTTTACCTTTTTTTTTTCCGATACCTGGAATTGAACTTAGGACCTTGCTCTTGTAAGGCAGGCATGGTGCCACTGAGCTAAAAGTGTACAAAAGTTACATTTTTCTAGATTATTACTTTTCTTCTGAATGCAAAAATGGCAATAATCAGTCATTTTATAACTATAATAACTATAGTTAGCTGGTTCCCACTGCTGCCCATCGACTTGATCCTTCATCATACTCAGGATAGGAGGCCAGAGAGAAAACTGATTAAGCAGTCACTGATATTGTTGGATTTGTTTTGCTCGTATCTCATAGCTAGCTTTTGCATCTGTATAAAAGATACTGGCTTGTCGATTTTACATGATACCTTTGTTTGTTTTGTTGTTGGGATACTCCTGGTTTGGAAGAATAACTTGAGAAATGTTCCCTGATTTTGTAAATTCTATAAGAGTTTGTGGAGGATTGGTGTTTCTTTCCTAAACATTTGTTAGAATGCACCAATGAGGCAGCTTGGAGCTGGATGCTTCTATTTTGGAATTCTATTTTTTGCTTATAACTCAATTTTTATAATTATAAATTACTACAGTTTGATCTCGTTCTAGATCTAGATCAAACAATTGCTCCCCCTCCACTGGCTATGAGTTTGCTGTTTTTTTTTTTTTTTTTTTTTTTTTTTGTTGTTGTTGTTGTTGTTGTTGCAACCTTAAGCTGAAAGATGAAGCCTTTAGGGCTATACATGTGGAGCTTTATCTACACATAATTTCTCTCTCTCCAGCTTTCTGGCTTTTGAAACTCAAGGTTAAGTCAAAACTAACACCCTTTAAATTGCTACAAAATTTTGAATGTTTTCAGTATAAAAGTGGGGCAAAGGACTAACATGTTGAACGTCTACAAAATAATAGACTAGAATTTCTCCGACTTTGGTGTCTATCAGGCTTGCACAGGAATGTTGGTGAAATACAGAGCACTTTATCTTACCCAGTGCATGTGGGCCTCTAAATTCTTTATTAATGTCTAGGTGATTGTGATGTACATCAAACATTGAGAGCCGATGTGCTGAGCACTTACTGTACATCATCTGACTTAATCCTCTGTGCTACTAAAGCAGATACACTTCTTTTCCAGATGGGGAATCTGAGGCTCGAAGTGATGATGTAGCCCACATACAGTCATAAAACAAACACTGAGCCCGATGCAGCCGCCTCTGAATTCTTTCCTCTCTATCACACGTGTGTCGACACAAGGGCAGCGAAGGACCATCTGTCTCTTCACTGAGCGCAGAAGGCAAACCGTACTGCCTCCCAAGATCTATAAAAATGATTTTGCTTTTCTCTTTGAACACATAGCCGGGGATTTAGCTCAGTGGTTCCACCTGGCAAGCACAAGTTCTGGAGTTTGATCCCCCATACCAAAACAAAACAAAACAAAACGAAAAAACCCCACAAACCCAGTGGATTATAAAGGTCCCCTTAGCCAGGTATAGTGGTGCACACCTGTAATCCCAGCACTCAGGAGGCTGAGGCAGGAGGATCACTGTGAGTTCGAGGCCAGCTTGGGCTGCACAGTGAGTTCCAGGTCAGTCTCAACTACATAGTGAGACCCTGTCTCAAAAAAAACAAAGAAACAAACAAATAAATACATAAAATAAAGGTCCCTGTTCCTTAATTGAAGCCCACTGTATCATCATCCACAAGGCTGCAAGAAACCTACGAACTTTTGGGAAACATAATTAAGACCCAGAGGGGAGGTCAGGATTGGAAAAGAGCTTCCAAGGGACCGTCACTGCCAGCAAGGCTTCCCAAGGGGATGCCGCCAGACAAATGAGGTGTGAACAGAGGTGGTTTTTAAAATGCCAGTAAGGAAAAGGGATAAAAGATCCCTATGAGTATTAACACAGGCAATTAGTGGCAAGAAAAGAAGCCGGTTCATTATTGTCAGCCAAAGGATCAAGGGAAAGAAGCTGGCCTTTCCCCATCATGCCAAGAGAGAAAACAATTCCAGTGTGGATCGTAAGGAGGAGGAGAGAATTAGATCAACAGCCCACTGGGAAGCTAAGAGAGCAAAGTGGTTTTCTGTGTCTGCCGGTGGGAAGAGCAACAGAAAGCAGAACAGTGTGTAAACATTTTTATCCAAGAGACTTGGACCAGAAGGAATTGTGAAAATAAGAAAAGTCTGTGTCACGGAAAAAAAAAGTCTGGAAGATGAAAAGCCTGGTGGGATTCATGTTCAGCCCTGAATTTCAATGCAACCCTGTCCTAGATTAGAAAACCCATGACATGTTTCTGCCAAAGCAATAATAACAATAACAACTGGCTTTGGGGCTTTCTGCAATACACTGGCATCAATCTGAGTCTTCAGAACAACTCTTGGGGTATTCAGTTAAGCTATCCACCCAGATTCCCAGGTAAGTTTCCTTAAAATGCTGTGAGTTCTGTGTTAAAGGACAGATGTGTACAGCAAAGGCCCTGGCAGCCTCATGTGGTCAGTGTGTAGTTTGAGGTTACACCACCTTTTCTCCCCACAACTATGGTGTCTCCTGGGCCCAGCCATTTGGTCTAGTGCTGGGAATTTCCACTTTAAGAAAAGCTATACTTCAACATTTCTTTCCAAATGTATCCTGCTTGTTGTAGCTCATTTGATTAAATCTCCAGCTCAATGCTTATCAGATGACAGGTTGTAACTCGGTAGCATTAGTTGGTCATATAATCAATTTGGTATACCCCGGCCAGCATTGAAATAAAGCAAAATCAAACACAAGAGAAAAATCTCAAACCCTATCCTCTGTGAGATGACAGTATTGTTTAGGAGATCTTGTGTGCATGCACTACATATTCGGAACTACAATGCTACTTGGGGAAGTGTTCCAAGCCAGGACTCTTGTGTCATGTTCCAAGACTTTCCTAACTGTAGCTTCTCTCTTAAAGCATCTTGCATCCTACTGTATAACTCATCTTTACAACTAGGCTTTAACCACATAACTTTTATCCAGTCATTCTTTCCTTGTTTCAACAAGTGCTCAGTAAATAGGTGTTCTGTGCTAGATGCTGGTATTACAGAAACAAATGACACTGGTCTGCACCCCAGCCCACCCTTCTGTCCACGAGGAAGGAGATGATCAGTGAGATTGCCGTCCGCTGTGCAGGTCAGGAAGGTGCTTCCCTTCCTACCAAGGACATCCAGACTAAGCCCTTCCCATCAGTGGGCTGCTGCTCACAGAGATCAGCTCTCTGCCCAGCTTCTTCTCTGCGGCCAGGGCTTAGGTCTAACAATCTGCAGACATCCCTGCGTGTGTCGGGATGACTCTGCCTCCTGAGTCCTTCCTCCTAACTCTAATGCTGTCTTCAGGGCCTGGGGATCTTGGCCTCATCTTTCCATTTCTCCTCCATTCGAAGCCTCTCTGGGACCACAGCTGGTCATCAGTGGATTTCCTGCCCTCTGTCCTGATGCAGAATTCTCCTCTGCAGAGTGTGTTCTCGTCCACTGTCCCTGTATCTGGAATGTCTCCGGGGATTGTGCTTCCATCACTTTGCTGGAAAGTCTATTTCACAGTCTAGTAGTTCTCACTGCGTAGAGACTTTTTTTCTTTCTTTGAAAGTTTTCCTTTCTTGATTTTAGTCATTATTTTTAGTTATACCACTGATACGATCATAAATAATACTCCAAACTTTGACAAAAAGTCTTTTCTTCACTGAAGAGTGTGCTCAAATTCATGCTTTGGCATCATGTGATCTTACTGCTTGTTATTAAGTCCTCACAGTTAATCATCACACATATCACTGAAAACAGAATGACTTCCACTGAGACAGCTGCACTCAACAGGAGAATTAGGCTCTTTCTTCTCTTAGAAAAATCTAGAATGGAAATCCACTCCATACCCAGTGATGACCTGGCCTCATCCAAGCTTTGACTCAATCATAAAAGCAAATAAAAACATTGAAGGAAAAAGGAGGTTCTCAGTTATGATATATTTCTTTGGTATGCCATTAGCTGTCTCTTTTATTTAATTGACAACATGTGTTGAGCTTTGAATTGGCCCTATTTGAGGTATTAGGGCCGAAAGGTGGGCATGACCACCCAAGTTGCTCCTGTGCGTGGGAGAAACAGACCATGGCAACCTAAAATCACAACTCTAGTGGTGGAAAGACTGAGTGGTTACAGTGGGGAACACTATCTCTGGTTGTGGGAGTCAGGGCAAGACTCTCAGGAAAATCTGACACGCATACTCTTTATTGGTGAGATGAGTAGAAATTTCTTAGCAGAGCAGAAAGAATATTCAAAACAAAGGGCAAAACATGTGTCAGTGGCAGAGGCCTGAAGGATGCTCAGCACCCAGGGAGCAGCAGGAAAGAAGCCTACAATACAGAACCGGTTGTGATTGCAAGTGAACCTGGGCATCTGCAAAGGACTTTGTGCATTCTAAAGAGTTTAGCACTCATCGTGCAGCCGATCGTGTCAGTGGAAGGTTTTAGCAGAGGAGAGTGTCAAGGTCCACGTTTATTTTAAGTAAGACTATTGTGAATGCAATATAGAGAGCTAACTGGAGAGAGCATTATGTGAGCAAGTTCCATTTGGAGACAGATCAGTACTGCAGGCTGGACGCTGTTCTACAAAGAAGGAACACACTTCATCTGCCCTTGAGAAAAAGAAAAAGTCTCTTTAAAAGGAGAGAGAAAAAGTAATTGCTTCTTTTCAAAAGATTTTTGTTACATGGAAAAGAATCTTAAAAATGGATGTTATGAAATGTTTCAATTGATGTGTACTTTTACTGCTAAAAATGTGTGTTCCACTCTTGCTGGAAGTAGATGTTCCTAACACATTTAAGGATCCTCCGAAGAGTTTCAAAGGGCTTTTAACACATTTGTGTGTGAGTGTGTGTGTGTGTGTGCGCGCTTTGGATAAAAATACACAAAGCCATAGAACAGAAAATCTTATCTTACTCAAGGCATATGGGCCTCTGTATTCTAATAATTATTAATTTGTTGGTGATTACAATACACATAAAAGTTTGAGAACCACTTAATATATATCACCTCTTCCAATCTTTTATTCTACTAAAGTTAATATTTATTTTATAGGTGTAGAAACTGAGGTCAGTGTGCAAAGCCACAGAGCTCATTGTTCTTTTTTCTCTGCCACCTGCATCTGTCCCTCACTGTTACGGGGCCACTTTCTTGACATGCTTGGGTTTTTTCAAACACAGTGTGAAATGCTCTACATTAAAACCAGTCTCAGGAAAGCCAGGCCCTACTGACAGCCATTCATACTTCTCATTTGAATAGAAAAGGCAGAGCATCACCATTTATTAATTTAGCTAGAAGAAAGCTGAATGTTCCCAAGCGGTAAATGCCACCTAAAAGCACTTATCAAAATACACAAAACACTGAGTGCAGAGATGACGGAATATTAAAACTATCATCTTTTGATGTCACCCCATCAAACAAAATCAGATGAGGAAACTGGATCTTATATCATGTCCTAAAACTCATCTCCATACACTCATTTGCTTTTTATGAGATTCACTCTGACAGTGTCTCATACCATGACCCTCAAGAATAATTTTTGCCTCACTTTTACGTATCTCTTCTATATTTCTTTTCATTAAAAATTAAGAGAGGACCAAAACTGTGACTGATACATTTGCAGAGCTAATTTAAAGAATCAAAACACATAAGAAAATAGCTTAATAATCAACAGAAGCAAACAAAAGGATCAGGTATCCCATCATCAAACACATTTTTCTCAATTGGCTCTATAAAAATAAAGAAAAATTGCCATATCTATGAATCTTAAATATGAAAATATAACAATCTAGAATAACTGATCTTTGTTATTATCTAGGCTTATTTCAGGATTCATCATAAAGCCAGGTTTATAGATATGTGCCCAGTTTAAATGGATATGAAGTTAGAAAAACAATTTAAAAATTTTGCCCACAAATTCAGGTCTCAAAATAAGCTTCACCACATTTACATAAAGGCATATATAGATTGCTCCATACTAGATACAATTTGTGATCCTACTAGTCTTTAAACTTAAAAGGAAAATACCCTTTAGGCATCAAAAGCTTCCATTGATTTGGGGTGAAATACAGGCTGGCCAGATGCAGGGTCTGATGCTGGTTACCCAGCACAGGAAGAACCCTAGTGCTCTCCGGTTACAAAATTATTTCCTGATACAGTTTGTCAGGCCATGA